GAGCAGAGAGATTTTTGTCCTGTCCTGACAATTTTCTAATACTTAATTTGGTTGGCTTTTCCCAGAACGACTTACCTGGTGTGTCTGTGTTCATCAGCATTTAGAGTGTGTGCAGGGAGCCACTGAGCAGCACTGTGGGAGAAGGGAAAGCTTGCTCTGCTCCCTGCTTAAGATTGTGTCCCTATAATTCATTGCCTTTGAAAACCATCTTATCACAGCATCAACTCCTTAGCTCTTTAATACAGGATAAGCTTATTAGAGATAATCTGTTTACTGAATGTCCTTAGCACAAAGCAATCTAGTTAACAGCATCTTTTGAAGCTTTGTCTTCTGGATATATCTTTTAAACTCATCCCTGATTATTTATCTATATCTGTATGTTTAGATCCTTTTCTTTAGACTTGTATCTGCTTTGGCATGAAATTGCAGTGTCTGGTGAATACACTGATAAACGTAATACTCTTGTGGGGAAATAAGGCAAACCAACACCAAAATGATCTAGGGCAAATAATCTGTTCATGTTTCTTTAGGCTTCAAAATAATTTTTCTCCTCTAAAGACCTACACTGCTAGCAGACATTGCCACAGTCTCCACAGTGCTCCTCACACAGCAGCTTGTATGTCCAGATGTTTCCCATCCAACACAATGTCCTCCTTAACAGTGGAGGACCACTGCTTGAGATGGACAGAAGAGGAAAGGAAACCTGGCAATTCATCCTCAAATGGCTAGGCATTTTTAGAAAATACTTACAGGTCATTGTACTAAAAAAGACAAGATGAGGAAAGAGCATTACAAAAGAAGTGCTGAAGAATGAAAGGTGACAGCAGTGAGAAATGTAATAAAGTAAGCCCACTTTACCTTTGGATCTTCCTGACCATTGGAAACTGCTCAATAAAATTCTGCCTTGATAGTTCAAAATACTTTACATGTCTCTCCTGACACAGGAACAACTGCAGCAAGCAGTTACTGATGAAGGCAATGTTAATGTGATTAGTGCATGTCTCTGTGCTCCCTCTTTTCTCATGGAGTTTAGATCAGTTAAACAGAATTACAAATTATCAAGCAGCCCTTTCTCTTCATAGGAAAGACAGTCACAAACTTCCCAATAAAAATAGTGTCTGAGCATCTTAAGAAACTGTTTTCTCTAGCAGGCCCAAATTTGGGACACAAAGATAACTGATGGCAGTTTTCCTGTGATGAATTTCTAAAGTGACTGTTTTAAAACCTGTATTATGCACTCTGTATGTCTTCCTTAACCGATCCTTTAATTGCTAAGGAGGCCTGGATGCCAAGGATGTAACCATCCTGTCTGAAACCTCCTGAGGCAATCACAGATTTTTATGCTGCACTCAGGCTAATTTTGCTTTGGTGATTATTGTATCTGGTCAGGTCTTAGCATGGGATAAGCAATGAAAGTGCTGCAGTTGGAGGGAATTACATCTCAGGTGCAAGGAATACTAGATAATGCAAACTTGAATAGTGTCTTGTAGGCAAAAATCTTATGGTGTATTGACAAGGCAAAACAAGAACCTTGTCAAAGAGAGTTTTTATTTTGGATCTTTAATCTTCTTTCATTTTTCTTGGGATTATTAGATACATGCACAAATGCAGGTACAAGAGAGATTAGGCTGGCATTGATATTTGTGCACCAATGTGATATTATTTCAGATAGTGTTCAAAAGGCTTTCAGTAGGAGTGTTACTTACTTGGTAACATCATAGGTATATTCCACAAAGTTTATTCTTTATAGTGGAAAATATAATCATTGCAAGGGTGGAAAAACTTTTGTGTACATCAAGAGGAAAAAAAGAAAAAGAAAATAAACACTTCCTTGCCAATGTTTTTAGAAATGTAATAGCCATTCTTGCTGCTGTGGACTGAACATTGCTACCCAGTTAGAATACAGTTGCTACATGCTGCAGGAAAGTGAAGTGTTTCTTTGCAAGCACTTTAAAGCTACTATTGAATTTCTGTAAGTCCAGAGAAATCTAGTACCTCCAGCCTGTAAAACAAGCTTCTCTATTTGGCCTCATTAATGTTTAGTCTGTTTTTTCTTGGCAAAATTACTTCAGTGACAGTCTCCACCAGATTGACACTAAAGTGTTTTCTTTACTTGCCATCTGTCTGGACTGATTGGAAAAAGTAAAGTGGGGCTTGTTTAGAAAAATATATAAGCAATTCACTTGGCACAAAGTTTGTTATAGATGTATGAAAAGCAGCTGGGTCCAGCTCAGGAGGTTAAAAAAAATGTTTTATTGCAGAGGGATGACTTTTCATGTACAAGTTTGTGCACTAGATGTGTTCTTTCATTTAGCTTGCAAGAAGAGACTAAATAAATTAGCTATGACATTTAATTAGTTTTATTTGTGTTTTACCAGGTGACATACAATATTATGTGTGAAAAGGGATTTGATGTTTCAAATGCCAGTCAGTTGCAAGTACAACATGTAAAAGTAGCAGCATAGAGCTGAAATCTTCATAAACACTTCCACCTTAATTCGGCAAAGCACTTGAATACATCAAAGTTAGCTGTTTTACTGTGTTGATTCTGGTTTTTTTTACAGGTTTCTCTGACAGATTTGCAGCTTCTTAGCTGTTTTTTTTTTGTTGCTTTGTTTTGTTTTGTTTTTGGTGTTCTTTTTTTTTTTTTTTTGTTAACATTGAGAAAATTTGGCTAAAGATGGCTTAGAACATTAATGAAATCCTGTTCATGTGATTGTTTTCTCTAGATACTGGTATGTGTGCCTTTAAGTATATGTATGTGGAGAGACCATAAGCATAATGCTGTTTCTCCAGCTGTGTGTATTGCTTAGCTTCACCCTTATTAGTATTCAAAATCCATTATGGTTAGAGGTCAGAATCAGTCTTTAAAACAGCCATGTTTGCCTTTTTCCGCCTCCTCCTCTGAGCCATCCATAGTTGTCTTCTGCTCTATTCTTACTCTGAGGCTTTCTGCATTTATTGGCTAAGTCTCTTCCATGCTGAATGTAAAAGCAAAAGACATTTTTCTGTGGTTTCTGAACAAGGGAGGAGGGCTGAATTCTAATAGCAGAAAAAATAGGAAATAAAAAATTATTTCTACTTTCTGAGGAACATTAATTCCTGGTGGGAATTCTCTACTGTGTATATTCTGCTTCTGCTTGATCACAATTCCTTCATTATTGTTTCTTATAGCAGTTTTAGGATGGAAATTATTTTTCAGACTCTCAGGTAGGAGGGGTCAGACCACAGTTTTCTGTATTTCTGTTTGTGGGGACTTTGTTATTTGTAGTATAGGGTACATAATCATTACAGCAGAATTATCAAAATGAGAATTTATTTCCCTCAGGTTAAAATTCTAGTGTGGCATCAGTGCTAAAGGCTAGTCCAATTTCTGGTTCCAGAAGTAAAAGAAACTGAGTTAGCCCTGCTGAACTACAATTTTACTTTGCGTTTCATAATCATAGACAACTATAGGTTATAGATAACTATAAGCATCTGAATGTGTTTTTAAATTTCAGGCCCTCTGAAATTTCATATTTATATGAAATATACATATTTATATGTATACACACTTGTTAACATCTTTAACTGAACTGGAAATATTTTGCACCGTTCTAATGCTTTTGTCTTCTGAGATTCCATTTTTGGAGGCATTACTCATGTTGAGTGGTAATTCCTGATTTAAATATGTACTACTCAGGCCTCATGGATTAGGTCTCATCTATTAGTGGACAAGAATTTTCCCCTGGTTGTGCATGTTTAACATTGCTAACCTCTTCTAACACTTGAAGATTGAAGACTGACTGTCTTAGGCAGCTAACTTTGGTTTGCTTAATTAGGAAGTATAGAGTGGTAAGGTGAAGTTCATCTTCTGATACAAAGATTGGCAGAAAAGATGTACCTGGAAATTATTTACAAATAGGTGAATATTTTCATTCATGAATTCAAATACTCAACTGTGTTAGACACTGTCAGTCAGCAAGCTAGAAATATCTGTATAGGAATTATTGGCATAGGTTGTACCTGCATTTTCTCCATGGCTGGATTTACAGGTGGGGTTTTTGCAAATTCTGTTGTTCAAAACCAGATGCAGCTGTTTTGATGCTTACCAATATATTGATTTTTTTTTTCTTTTGAGACTTTGATTAACATATAATTATTGTTGCCATTGTGCTTATTTTGCAGCATCTGTTCTACATGACATGTTCACTTTGTCTCATCTTGGTCTCTGTGGCATGTTCCCACTCAGTATTTTTCAAATATTTTCTGTTGGGTTGGATGATTCATGTTTTTGCTGGACTTTATTGGCTCAATTTACTGCTTTCATTACTGTTTGTTTTCACTTCTAATGTAAAGGCTTATTCCTCCTTTCTTCATTAAAATTATTACTTTCAGTACATAATGTCTTTACAGATGAATCAGCTATCTTCTCTAGATGGAGAGGCTAATTTTCTTTGAAATCTCATGTGCCCATATGGCACTAGATTTGTTTTTGTTATGCTTGTTTTCTGCTGTCATAGTTCTACTAATGGCAGTAGAAATATATTTATATAAAATTTATATAATAGTCCTTTAGTACTGATGGCACATATAGGAGCATCTTTTATGCACATAGTAGGACAGGGAGGTGTATATAGAAAACTTATGGCCTGTTCTGTGTGCCAAGAGCCCCCATACTATGAACTGGAATGATTTCAGCAAACTCTCTGACATACCAGTTCAGGAGATCTTATAACTGTAGTTTCATGTTTGCAAATCTAGCTAGTTTCATGGAGGAATTTGTAGGAATCTGCACCTTGTTCACTCAGTGTTACTGGTCACTGAGCAGTAATAACATTGCCGCCTCTTTACACAAGCTATTGATTGTTTTGTGCGTTGATGAACTGGTTTTGACTATACATGGGAGCTTCAATTCTTTATAATGAAAAGAATATCACACAAACACAAACCACACCAAACTAGACAAAAACAAGAGACATGATTGATTAGACTGGTAATCATGTGTGCTTTCATTTCAGAGCAGAGGCAGATGAAGTTTCTTCCTACACATGGCTTTGAAGAACGAACTCAGTTTCATGTTGTACATCTACCAAAAGGTAAGGGACACTCATTGTGATTTTTCCTCTTTGCATGAATAATTGGGTATGAACATAAACTTATGGCATAATAATATTTTTGACAGGTGTAGTGTGGGTAGAGGTGTTACAATTGTTCTTCATAGTGGGCTGCTATTGAGTTTCAGGCTGGTCAGGCAATGTTGAATTAAACTTGAACATCTTTTTGGTAGAGAAGGAAATTTTTGCTAAGTTTTCACATGATAGTTTATGAACTGAACAGACAAAGATTAGAGATTTTTGTCCAGTTCAGCCTTATAATTGTGTATGCCTGAAAAATTAAGCCTAGTCTTTTACAGGGTGCAGTAAAAAAGGAAGTAAAATAACAAAGGAAAAGGAGTCACTGTTGTGTGTTTCAGAAGACTGTATTGAGCACGTGGCTCCAACTTAGTTCTCATTGTATGGCATTAGATGGTTCAGTAGTGATAGGAAATACCCTGGAGAGGATCTCAGATTATGTGCACTGTACTGTTTTAACTCACACAAAGACTGTCAGTAAGGACATCAGGTATGAATTTGCCAGGTTTCCTTATACTGCTCTAATCAAACAAATGTCTGGGCTTAGAAATGATTGGCTGAACCGAAACTATTTGGGAGCTGAGGCAGTCAAGGAAAAATGCTTTTTTTCTGAAACACTCTCTCAAGCAAGGACAATCTCCTTGGGTGGTAAATTTGCCTTACTCAGTTCTGGCACAGAGTTCTTGGTTCCTGAAATCATTTTGTCATCTATGTTCAGCTGTGAATGACCAGGAGCAGGAACCCAAGAAGCAGAATGGAGGCAGTGGATGGTATGGCCCCATGCCTTTATCTCATAACGTTCATCTTGGTCAAAACTAGTTTCTATTCTAGTTTTTTAGCTCTGGAAAATATAGAGTGGAGAAATCTCCCTTTGGCTTACAGAAAGATGTTCTGGTTTTCTTCCCATGCAGCTTTGAAAATCCAGCTGTGATTTCTAGCAGTTCATCCAGATCTCACTGTGTAATTTGTGTCATGACAAAAACCCTGCAGCCGGTTTTGTGTACTGATGCCGACGAGGTGGTTGGTAGACACGCTGTAGTGAGTGATGAATGAGCAGGGCTGGGTGCTGCAAACTCAGTACAAAATTTACCCTGGGGTTTCAGTTCTGGTAAGGGTTGTGGTTGCTGGAGATGTTTAGTCCTTAGGGAAACTAAATGCTGGTTCTTGTCTCCCCTAAACCAGTCTGTCAGTGTCATATCAACCTAGGACAGCGGTGCTGAAATTTGCACCAGGAGTGATTCCAAATGAGGTACTCCACTCACAGCCCAGATACCACTTACATCAGTGCTCATGTGCTGGATGGAGAGAGAAAGGTAACAGTCCATCATTTGCCAGGTTTTCATTCTCCTGTTTGCTTCCCATTCAACACTGGAATATTAGCACCTCTCTACAGACTTTTGACAGACCTTCTTCCATGAGTTTGGGAAGTGTTTTACTTCTTCCTCATCAAGTGAGAATGATAACATTTTTAATTCCTTCAGTATTTGAATTGCATATGTGATCCATAAGCTGATGCTTTTAGGGATCAAGGCATTTTGAACTTTCTGCTATCCTTTTCCCCCCAAAATTTTGCTTGCCCCAAGGCTGAAATCTGAGACTCATAAGAAAAACTAAGAGGGGAAAAAATGAAGCCAAATTCCCATAAATACCTTTTATAAATAGGGGAACAAAGGCACAGGAGACCACACAGTAGTTTCATGTCCAAGCCAGGAGACTCTTCAGATGATCCAACGTGTGCTCTAGTTATGAGAAAACACTGTCTTCCTCCTCAATTCCTTAGCTGGTTAAAGCTCCTTCTCTGTCCTGGAGTGAGATTTCCACGTACAGAGCTTCTGAGAATCACTACTCTGGGGATTACTGTTAACTCCAAAATGTGTTATTTGCACACTGAAGTACTTAACTAAGGAGCTTTTCTTTTTCCAGTTGCAGTCACTGGAGGCTTGATGGTAATAGAGCTGTCTTCTGCTCTCTGCCAAGTTTATTTTCCAAAAGAAATATCTGAATGAGGAAACAATGACTAAAGAGGATATGTGAACTGTCTAGCATACTGCAAAGGTCCTCATATTAAGAAGAGAGAGTAGTTTTGGATGGCTGAAGGGTTCATTATTATGACTAAATTTATCCTTTGTGAAATTGAGGAAAAAAAAAAAGGGAAGTTTGCTATCAGAAAACACTTTGAGAAGGGATTTGGTGAGTCTTATGACCTGAATGGTTCCAAAGGACAGAAGATCTTGGGAGCCACTCTCTCCATTGATGTGGATGCACTTTATAACCAAAGAGGTATTTTCCACTTCCCCACTTGTTTTTTAACTGATTCTGTGTTCAGCATCAAATTCATGTGTTAGTGCCAGGCTTAAAACAATGCCTACAAAATTTGGCCTAATTGCAATGCTGTTGGAAAAAAGAGGCAAAAAATGTTTTAAAACTGGGGGTGGTGGGAAGCTCTGAGGGGAGAGCTGAAGGTGGGGATCAGCCCATGTTTCACACCTGCTTTCTCAAGTCCTGCTAACAGTTTGCAAAGGATGGGGTCTGAGAGCATTGATTGCCCTGATGAGCTCCACCTGGGGTCTCCCACAGTGCCCTGGGCTCAGGAGCCCTATTTGAACCTAAAGTATTCCTCTTCTTACACAGTGTCTCTGCAGTGCTTTGCCTACTCTATTTCTGTTGCTGGGGCAGGAAACAACTTTTTTGTGAGGAGAAAATTAGTGGTGAGTCGACTTTAGTACTGTTTTTTTATCATCCTTTTAATTTGAAGCTGTTTGTTTTTGTAATTTGTCTTGTTAAATTAGTTCATGTCCATATAGCAGAATAGACTTTAGGCCAAACTGTTTGCTCAGGAAGAAAATGGGATGCCTCACAGAGGAGAGAGAGAAGATTATGTTATCTGCCAAGTTCCAGGCTCAGATGTAGAGTTAAAATGTCAGCCAACTGGGCCAAACCACAGCCTGTGATAAACTCTGCCCTTCCATGGAGATTGCTCTGTTTTGCTTAGTTTGGTAAGAAATCACCTCGAAGTAGCATGGAGTTAAGCTTTTGTATCTTCTCCTTTTCCTCTGTGTAATGGTTACTACACCTTGGGGCTGGGAAGTTTTTGTTTTGATTGAACAATATGCAGAGTGAAAATAGCCTTCTAAAGTGAATGTCTTTCCTTGTTCCTTTAAAAGCCTTTTCCTAATCCTTAGTACTTTTAACAGCCATCTCTGGGACCAGTGGCAGTGTTTGAAACCCACACAGGTTGTAATGTTTGAAACAATTTTGCTATAGTGCCTCAAGCTTCACCTGTGTTCTAATTTGGGGATTGAAAGCAGCTGAGAGCTGCTCAGGTGTGCTGCAACCAGGGGGGCTGGAGGAGCTTGACTGAGAGCTGCTGGGGCAAAAGAGATGCTTTCAAAACTGTACTGGAACTTGGACACTGCTTTACGAGGTAGCAGTTTTTCTGTGTTGAATTACACTAAACACGCACGTTGAACTGTAGGTGACTGTACAGAAATACACTTTCTAACAGCACTGGCAAAGGTGTTGAACCATTTGTTGGGATTTTGGTTTGTTATTCACAGATATTGTTGGTTAATTTAATAGCCTTTACAGGTTGTCAAAATCAGTTTGAAGATTCTCAGATTTCCATGAGATTTGCTGTCAATAAAAGTACCAGAACCTGGTTTTTAGCCAATATATTTTACAAGGATTAGAGCAGTAAAAATGAAAGGAATCCTGTTAATCTGCCTAAACAGTTACTGCAGATATTTGAGTTATGGGGAATAGAGGTGGATTTATTTGTTAGTTGTTTTTGGGCGAGAAATATTTGAGAAAAGGCACTTTTGTATTCTATGCAGCTTGTTGTAAATGTCGATTGTATAATAATTCTACATTACACCACTAACCAAATGTTGATAGAATACACTGACAATTTCTAGTGGAGAATTTCACTGGCCACAGGGAGGTAAGAATGACTATTATAACACATAAGGGGTAGATTGAGAAATGGAATAAATTAGTGAAAACATGGCCTGGTGATGTTCTTGGGGGAGAGGCAGTGGGTTAAGTGCATCATGCAAAGGGGACCACATGCAACTGCAAGCCCCAGGAAATTAATGGAGTCTTACCAGGTCAAGACCCACCTAGTACAAATGCATTTGAAGTCTTTGAACGCACAGGGTTTTTTTTCTGCCATCTTAACTATTTCTTCTATTAGTATCAGCATAACTGGAATTCCTCATAGTATTTGTTCAACGCTCATTTCATCCTTTAATAAAAGGATCTGTCTTTCTAAAGATAAGCTTATTTTTCCACCCCAAAGAAAAAAGCAAGAATGCTTGACAGCTCCTTTCTTTCTTTCCTCTACTCACTATGCAGCAAATAATCAATCTTGGCTGAATGACATTTTAGAGGAATTACAGTCGTAAATGTGTCAGAAAAGTGTAAAATGCCCCTTGCATTTGCATGGGTGGGAAATCAGAATTTAGCTAAATATACATGTGGCTGAAGAAAGCATAGAAATAAAAAGGATCTTTTAACAAGAAAATTACAAGGCAGCTTTTTGAAGAAAATTGCATGAATGGTCACCACTGTGAAGATTTAAATGGGTGGCTCCCAAATAAATCCTTGAGAAGAGTGAGGGTGCCTAATTCTGGGTGGTGCCGAGTGCCCTTGGCATCTGGCCCCTTCTTAGAAAAGTGTCTTCTTGTGCTCTCTTTGCTGCTGCGAGATCAGACATCACATATCAAATATTCCTCTTTTGTGGGCTGGTCTGCAACTGTTTTTCTGTTCCTTTTGCCTATTTTTTTTGGTACAATGTATTTACCATTATTTCAATAATAATGTAATAACATGCATTGATCCTTTAAGCGCATACAGTTTAAAGCTTTTTCCCAGTGGCACCTTAGCAGGCTTTGCAAACAGTGATCAATCAATAACCTTCACAAAGCCCTCTGCATCCCTCTTAGTTACGCAGTTCGGGATCTGAAGGATAAGGGTGTTGAAATACTTGGCCAAGGTCACACAAAGAGTTGGTAGCTGACTTCTTAAATCCCAGACTCCTATTTCAGACTTCAGACCACACGTCCTCCACATAAGCATGTTTATATTTCGGGCAGGGTATAGGGAACAGTCTTGCCACAGTGACTTTCCAGGTCAGTGACTATTCCTTCATAAATTCTAAGCTTTCCAAAGCCAAATGTCTGAAAATAAAAAATATGAGAGATGCTTCAAGAGTGAGAAAGCTGATGTTGCAAGGATGTAGATTTCTCACCAAGGGAAACCACTGATGTGTTCCAACATAATTTGGTTTGCTACCAACCAACAGGCTGGTGATGGTGACACTGTCTTTTAGTCAGCCTGTGTGAGGTGTTGGTTAATATTGCTACAACAGATATTCATTATAACCTACAGTTACCCACAGTTTATTCTGTTTATGCTGCCATTTAGTGGTTATTCATTAAAAATAAAATTTATGTATGGTTATTGGATGTGTATTTTGGCAGGGAAGTGACCTTGGCAGAAACATGTCTGGATCAACATTCAGCTAGCAGTCACTCTTTATGTTGTCATATAAAACCTTGTTAAATAATATTTTGTTTCTATCTTCAATTGCTGTTATATAAGACCAGTAATGAAAGTCTCCCAAAGGATTGGTAAATGGAGTGAGTTTTTCTGTACATTTTCTCTATAAAATAAAGAGCTAAGCCAATGACTGTCAACATTATTGCCTAGTTGAAGTGCTTGCTATAAACTCTGATAGTAAATTGTTTACTTTTAGATTTTTGCAGGTTTAAAAGTTCTCTACATTTAAATACAATTTGAATGGCTTTTGCAGAACTAAGGATAATTCACATTAAGAAAGTATTTAACTTTCATTTCAGTGAGACTACTCACATGCTTAATGTTAAGTGGTTGGTTGAATTGTTTAATGCTCAGAAAAGACACTAAAAATAAAGCCAGGGAGAAATGGGCTTCAGACAGAGGACCAGTGCCAAAACTGATTGTAGTGGTGATATTTTAAGAAGACACCTTAATGTCAATGTACAATGTCATTGTGTTTTACTAATTTTCATTTACTTGATGTCATTCCAATATAGCCTCAATTTCACCATGCTTTTCCCTGTTTTTTATGATTTATTTTTGACTCTTTAAAACAAAACCTTTGCATAAAAATTGGTGGATGGAAAGCTGCTATAAAGCTAAGAAGGAATGTTGATTCCTGCATGGATTATATTTAAATATATTGGTACAAGTTATTGGTGGCTTGAAGATAGAAGAAGGCTAACTGTGAAGTCAGTTCATCAACATTATCAATAAGGTCTGATGGGTGCATTTGTGCTTCTAGAGGCAGATGTGTTACGTGGACAGAAAGAAATGGCTAATCAGCTTGTGGGCTGCTGAAAGCAGGGGTGGTGCAGAGACTGCTGTTCTTTGTTGGCTGTGATCACAGGACAGGGGCAGGAGAGCTGCAGCCTGTAGCTTCACTGGCTGCATGGACTCTCTGGGGAGCACCTAGAAAGTTTCCTCATGTATCTAAGAGTTTGGACAGTTGATAAGGTGAAGAACAGACAAGAAAGGGTCCCTACCACTGCTGGCTACGCTGACAAACGAGGGTAAAATTCTATCCTCAAACGTTTTCCAAAACTAGGGTATATCTCCCTCTGTGGCACACCTGAAGCTGTCTCCCTTTGCTGAAGTAGCTAAGTAATTTGTTTCTTGAGTCAGGAAAACCTGCCATAGAGCTTTGGTTGTCAGGGGAATGCAAAACAAACCTACCAGAGCCTAAACATGCATTTCTCCCACCCTTTCACAGTTTTTTGTTTTTGGGTTTTTTTTCCCCGTCTACTGTAGAACAGCTTAGGAGCTGAGTAAGCTGTATCCTGAAAAAACACATTGCAGGAAATGGTATTTACCCTTTGATCTTTAGATCCTTCCTCTGCTGTGATATACAGTAACTTGTTTTGTCTTTGCTCAGTGAACAGACTTTCTCCATTTAGATTTATGGCAATGGCTCATTGCTGTTAGAGGAGGCTTTACTGCCTTTCATAAAATAAGGGAAAAAAGGCTGTGTTTTCCATATATCTTGCAACTTTCCATACTGTCTGGAGACCAAGGAATTTTGAAGTATATATTTGTTTGATTGCAAGGTATTCATTGCACCGGATTGGCTGCTACTGTCCTGATTTTAAAGTGTCCCTCCATGCACAGCCCCATTAAACTCAAAAGAAGCCTTTGTAGAATAACTTGGCTATATCAAAGTAAAAGTTTGTGGCACTTATCCCAGAGTAAGAGTATTTATATATGAAGTTAAATGCTTGGAGAGCAAGGTAGTATCCACTGAGGCTGCATATTCACCTCCAGGTGTATTGCACTGAATTCTTTCTATGGACAGCCAGGGATGCTATTCACTACCTGCGAGGGGATCAGAATCTGGACTGCATATATTTATTGCATGATGATAAAGAGGAAGAGCTGAAACCAGTGTGGGGAATTACTACATGCCTCTAGCACATACTTGAAGCCTTTCTATTTAACTGTAAGAGAGTTCCACTTCCCATTTCTCTATGCACATTCCACTGAATCCTTCTGGGGTGCTGTCAGGATAGGATTTGCTTTCTCTGCCTTTGCTCTGTTTCTTTAAACTCCACCTGCCTTTTGTTATGTTGGAGACATGCACTGATTTAACTGAGTTACAGCCTCAGTCTCCTCCTGGTAGGGTCCAAATTGTATC